CCTTTTAATTTGATAACTGTAATAAAAATGTCTACTATAAAGTAAGGAAATGGAAATTTATAAAATTATTCATATTTTAAATAATATATATTTTATTTTCTAGGATTTAGATCGAATATCTTACTTAAATCCGAGATATTCGACAAGAACGAGAACGACTCTTGACAGAAATCCCTTATCTAAAAACTTTTCTTTTGTTTCATCCAAATAAACAGCTCCGGGAATCTTTCAATAAAATAAAATAAAATTGTAATAGGATGTTAAATAATAAGAGTTTTTCTTACAAGACAGTAAACTTGTGTAAACCGAACGGTATCCAGTATTTATTCAGTTTTCAGTTCCGTATTGAGCGTTTTATTGTATTCTATTTTTACAATCTAATTAGTTATACATAAGAATAAAAATTTTAAAGAACGGCAATATCATTAACACAGACTTTTTTAGCAAACCACATAAGATTTAGCGTTTATATTATCAATGTATATCACAAATAAATTATTTTTTAAATTAAGAAATAAATTTATAAAGATTTGAAATTAATTATTTCGCTAAAACAAAATGCAGAACATAAGTAACAGGCCCATATCATTACCTCAATAGCAAAAATCGAAAGGGTTGTATTCACCAGAGCATTCTTCATTCTATAAATAAGATAACTTATAAACATTTCTATATATTTTTATTAAATTAAACTTTATGTTTATGCAAGAAGATAATGTCTGTAATGATTGCATCGGAAGTTCATATATAATCGGCATCTCCTGCAACTAATCTTTCCATATCTAGTTTCGAATTTCATTTATCTAACACACTATTTTCGAGATTAAAAAAAAAACATACGGACAGACAAGCGATAGTTATGATTTACAGATATTATATATCTTTACTTGTTTATATCGTAAAAGCAATATTTAAAAAGTAAAAACTACATATATTATATTTTACTCTCAGAACTAGCCGATAAACGAAATTACTTTACGGTATAAATACGTATATAAATTTAATTTTATAAAATAAAATTAAAAATAATCAAAACTTTTCAAACTTTGTAAAAACTTTTATTAAAGAATAATTATTAAACTGAGATAATAATTTTTATACCTTAATTACCAATGCAAAACACCTCTTTGCAATTCGACTGCAACCTTTCTTCTGTGAAGGAATTTATGACGATAGTTATCGATCTGTGAAATTAAAAAAGTGGTCTTGGAAATCGGTCGTTGTAGCTTTGAATATCAATCATAGTAATGGAAATTTAATGCACTTTAGGTTAACTTTACATCTGCTGCATACATTTTATCAGATCAATAAGAAATCTTTTATAAACAGAATATTGAATTTAATAGAATATACTTTTAAACTTAATATTATAGAAAAACAAAGATGTTAGTAAACAAATATGGTTAAAGTTTTCGTGAGTTTGTTTACATTGTGATAAAGCATTCATTGCTGTATTTTTTAATTTATGTTTATTGCAAATATAACGTTCAATG